GGAGTACCTAGTGTCTAGAAGTAATTAGGAGGGGCAATATGTGGTATAGGTAGAGGCATGAGCCTATATACTAAAAATAGTGTAATGTTTTTATACTATTGTGCAGCAGTAATTGTTGGAAGACTACACAAATGTTAGGAAGCTTTTAATTGGGAGTTGGAAGAATTCTGACTCAATATTATTATGGATTTCAATGAAGGGATGTATTAGATAGGGACATCCAGACTTTAGTAAGATGATGAGGGAGCATTCTGTGAAAGGTTGAAGGTATAGGAGCATTTTGATAAAAAGAAGCAAGGAAGACTCGGTGGAATCAACTGAGAAAGATGGTAGAGTGAGATGTTAAAATATTGCGGAAGACAAAAAGCAGTGTTGGGAGAAAGAGAAGAAACCACAGGCATTGTGAGAAAGAAGCAAAGCAGAGGAAAAGATAGGTGATCACAGGGTCTTCGTTTGGTACATCACGAGAGGGTTCATGGATTGAGGAAGGGGAGGTTGCCATGGTTCCTGACCTTGATATAAAATAATTAGTTGATATCAGCTAGCCGAATGTTCTAGGCAAGGTTCTGTGTGGTTTAATTTAACTCATGGGTAGCCATTAAAAATGATGATTATACCAAACATGTGGTCATTGAAAAATATATAATCTCAGATGGAGAAATATTTTACGTATGTGCTGTTATGTCAGTGTTACAAAATATACATATGCATATATACAAGAATTGGAAGATAAAAAATAGTTGTGTTAAGCTGATAAAATTGTGTACCCTCTCTCTTTCAAAATGTATTAGTTATAATGTTTCTTTGGTTTTTTTTTTAAGCAGGCTAAATCAATTATTCATTTCCTTTAATTGAAAAAAAAACCCTTTTATTCTTTTTTTAATTTTTTTAATTTTATCAAGTGGCTACAGCTTTCTATTTGTCTTACCAATGGCTTCTTTTCACTTTCAGGTTCTAATTATTTCTCCTCTCTATTTTTAAATTCACGTTTTCTTCATAGTATACTTTAACCTATTTACTCAACTTCCTAATTCTCTTTCCCTAAGGATTATTACTTGTAGGACAAATACTAGTGGATTTAAAAAATTATCCCAATAATTCAGTTATCTCCACCTAGACTTAAATAGGAAGATACAGGTTCAGCAGAAGGTACTTGTTTTGAATACAAATAAAGGTAGTTAAAACCATTAGAAAGGTAATCCTAAGCATTTCTTAAATTTCTCCTCCTGGAAATACTTAAAAGGGGATATCTCAATATCTTTTATGGAGAATACTGATGTTTGAGAGTAGAAAGAGGAGAAAGATCTAACAGGATAATCCCCTCATCTCCAGGACTATGTTTTTAAAATAAAAGTTGGGCAGAAATTCTGACAATGGAACAAAATATAAAAATAGAACTTCACAGGAAACCTATGATACTTGGTTAGCATATTCATTATTACGTAGCTCTGTTACTTAAAGAATCTTTAGTAATTGAGAATGTAGACTGAAATATTATTAAGCAGAGTCTTTAAAATATACTTTGTTAAATTCTGATTTTGGAATAATTTTGATATTTTCCACCATTAGCTACACAATAGCTTTAACAGTGTTCCCGGTTGATTGATTACAAAATTCTTCAACATAAGCTATTGTAAAATATGTTGTAAATAAAATGAATTTAGATTATATTCATCCTCAGAGCTATCAAGTGAACAACAATTGACTTGATTTGCCTCATACTATTATTTTTTGATAAAGTAATATTAACCACATGAGCTGTATTATATATTATTTCTCTTTAAGGAAATGCTAAATATAACTTCAACAAAACAATGTTATTTGCAAAATACGTAAAGCAACGTAATCATAAATGAAAATGCTGACACTGTAAAACCCTAATGATAATCTTAGTGCATGTTCAGCATCAGCTGGGCTGATACCAGTTTACAATAACGTACTTTGCGCTTTTCAAACAGTTTGAAACATTGTCTGACTTTTGTACTTTATTATTCAACAAGAAATCCTCACAACATCATGAGGTAGATAGAATAATATTCCATTTAACTAGTTAAGGGCAGTTTGGAGCAAAGATGCATTTCTCTTCTTAATTGTGTGAAATGATTACATTTCTCTCACTATTCATTAGTCATAGTTAAACTTTCTGGCAAGGAGAATATTGAAACCTGTAAAAGAATGTTCATAATAAGCAATTGCAAAATAATATTAGTCAAAAGTTTTTAGTTTGCTGCATAGTACACTTCTGTAGTTTTGTTTATAAAACAGATTTTCTAGCGAGGCATTAAAATGAGCAAATTTCAAAATAAACTTTTGTTGTTTTAGCATAGCAGGGTTTGAAATCTTTTGCTGTTCTTCATTCTAAAATATGGTATAGATTTTTAACTTATACCGTATTAAGGCTCCAAATTACTTCACATTATAAAGCTTAATGTGGAGGCTGAGAAATGAATGAGTTAGGGTACAGATTTGGAGGATAAACTTTCCGTGGAGTGTTCTGACCTGCCAATTTAAACTGACTGCATCTTTGCCTACATTAAAATTATCCTTCATCTCCTTAGGTGTAGTTGGATATAGTTTTAAGTGATACTGTTTGTCTTAACCATAAAATTGGTTTGGTCCAATAATATATTTTGCTAAACACCATGGGAGTTTAACTTACATTTTTTCCTAGGAGAAACGTTGGTTTGGTAATAATCATGTAATTCCAGCGACCACTAGAACTGCAGTAGTCCTGGCTAGTGGTGAACGTGCATAACTCAAATCAGAGTAGTGGAGAGAAGACTGAGCTGGATGAAAGGGCTCCTGAATTCTGTTCCTCTGTTGGCTGTAACCTACTATATTCCTTGGGGGAAATTCTCTTGGCTTTGATTTCACATCAATCAAAAAAGAAGGTTGATTTAGATAATCAATCTTGTAGGTCCTTCGCAGCTCTGACAACTATAATTCTAGCATTAATTTCCGTCATTTGTAACAAGTTTATTTTTTATTTCCGTGATCACATGAAGGATGTCTTGTACACATCCCCTCTCTGTCACATAAATATACAAACAAAGCAACAAGTTCATTCAGTTGAAAAGGGGCGATTCCTAATAATATATTTTTGTTCTTCTTGTCATGGAATCATTAAGATTTCACTGAGAGATGGTTAAGCACTGCAAAAACCTTGGTTCAATTTTGTGCTGGTATTAAAAACTAACCCTTTTGTCCTCACGGCACCCAAAATTCTATCCAGATTCCACATGGATAATATGCTGTATTGTTTACTGTTACCCTAATAGATTTGACCTGTCTTTTAAAATGAGTCAGACAAACTGTAGGGTTTTTTTTTCCTGTGAAAAGATGTGAGCATTATTATAGCATTCGCAGCAGAAGAGACAAAGTCCAGTTTTTTTAACCACAATATATTTGCAAACTTCACAAAGCAATACTATTGATAAATAACACTGTAAAAAAAAATAAAGCGCCTTCTTTTCAATCTTAATGCATTTACAGCATCATATGTATGGATATCAGTTTGCAATAATATACCTTGCATTTTTTGAACAGTTTTTAAACATTCTTTGACTTTTCAACTTTATTATTGAACAGGGAAGCCTCACAATGCCATGAGGTAGATAGCTTAACATCTCATATGGTAGATGGAAAATATGAGGCAAAAGCTACTGAGTGATTCCTGCAACACCACTCAGTAGGTCAGACATCAAACTAGAAATAGGACAAGTAAATCCTATTTGAAAAATCCACTTTTCCATTTCTTAGAGTTTTCTATGGCCTTTTGCACTTATATCTCTTACTTGTGTTAAAATGTCATTGAGTTGAATTAAATCAAGCATATAATTATTTAAATGAGTATATATAGTTCCACAGACATTTATATGCAGAAAGGTGTCACAGTCTCCTGAAACATAAATATAGGTACACAAAAGCAGATATCCATTTTTATATAACTTACATAGTAGAAATAATTTTCTTGTAGAAAGGTTTGTTTTCTTATTTCTACAAAGGCTGTGTAGGCTTTTATGTAAAAAAGGCATGTCCTCAGTCAGGCACATCTAGAATATGCTAAATCTTCTCCAGAAAGCTTTAGCTGTTTCTCTACATATAAAAAAAAGTACAGGGCTTTACATTTTTATTCTGCTTTTTCTGTTGATACTCAGTTGTTAGTAGTCATTATCAACTCAGAAATTTGGGGACATTTTCTTTTCCAAAGGAAGGTGTGCATGGATGACCCTTTTCTGTTCATGATATTGTGATATTAAATAATAACTAGGAGTTTTTTAGTTATATTTATATTGTTTACATATATTACATATAAACACACATACATGTAAATTAAAATTTTCAGTCATCAGAGACACTAAGAGGCTAGATTTTTTCTCTAATAAATCAGAGCAACACATCTAGCACTTGAGGTCTCACATGTGAGGCCTGGATGTGAATACTGCTGCATTTCTGTAGTCATAATCCTGGTGACAGATGACCAGGCATCCTATGACGACTTGTGTATAAGCAGACTTTATTCAAAATATATTCATGAGACATAAGAAGTGATTTCAAAAAATCTAGTAATTCACCTAATTTTATTACAATGTCATTTGAGGTGTTCTGAAATCAATTACATGGGTTTAAAGAAGGTACAGTTTTTGAAAAATAGATTGCTGTATTGAGTCCAAAACACAATAATAATTAATAGCAGCTAGTCCATATTGAGAGCCTACTGTGGGCACCCTTCTAAGAGCTTTACTAAATTAGTGTATTTAA